GAAAAGGCTAAAAGATACGACGCTGGAAGAAGGCACCCAACATGCTACTGAGGAAGAGCGGAGGACAAATGCAAATAGCTCCAGAGCTAATGAAGTGGTTGGGCAAGAGCCGAAAGGACACTCAGCTGTGGATGTGCCTGGAAGTGAAAGGAAAATCCTATGCTGCAAAGAAAAATACTGCATAGGAACCTGGAATGTAAGATCTATGAACCTTGGTAAGCTGGAGAAAGCTATACGTGGGACAGGAAGCAACAGTTAGAACTGGATATGGAAACACTGATCGTTTCAAAATTGGGAAAGGAGTATGACAAGGCTGTATAAGATGCCTGCTTCTTGGGAGGAAAGCGGTGAGAAACCTGGACAGAATCTTAAAAAGCAGAGACATCACCTTGCCAACAAAAGTCTGAATAGTCAAAGCTATGGTTTTTCCTATAGTGATGTACGGAAGTGAGAGCTGGACATAAAGAAAGCTGACCACTGAAGATTTGATGCTTTTGAATTGTGGTGCTGGAGGAGACTGCAAGGAGATCAAACCTATCTGTTCTGAAGGAAATCAACTCTGAGTGCTCATTGGAAGGACAGATCCTGAAGCTGAGGCTCCAATACTTTGGCCATTTGATGAGAAGAGAAGACTCCCTGGAAAAGACCCTGATGTTGGGAAAGTGTGAAGGCAAGAGGAGAAGGGGACGACAGATGGTTGGACAGTGTCATCGAAGCAACCAACATGACTTTGACCCAATTCCGGGAGGCAGTGGAAGACAGGAAGGCCTGGCGTGCTCTGGTCCATGGGGTCACAAAGAGTCGGACACGACTATATGACTAAACAACAACAGGGAGACAAAAGGGAATGAATGTAACCAGCATTCTAGCTCTAGTTGTGGCAATCCTTAATCCAGTTCCACTTTCTGTTGCACAGAAGGAAAAGAAGAAATTAAGGAATGGGAGGATCTTTCCTGTAACTAAGACCACAACTGAGGGATCAGAAGAGAAAGAATCCTGGAAGTTGAGTCATGGCAACTGGACTTCTTTCTTGTTAGGTTGAAACATTTTGCATTTTCCAGATAGTCACACATAGATGACTGAGAATTCTCACAGAATCCTTCACACAATTTTCTGTTGTTTTGGGGTCCCTGGAGTTTCTTTGCTTCTGTAACCATCCCATAATTTGTTAAATTCAATCATCTAAATTGTTAAATTCATATTTGCAGCATTTAACTTTTCTGTTCTTATTCGTCATTCAACTAAAAACTTTGGCAGAACTGAAATAAGAGGTGCCACTTAAACACATAATTAGGTGGTCCATATATCAAATCTAATCTGTTCATGATTTTTATGTAATAATTCCTCACTTCAAGCTAATGAAAAATGTTTTCATAAGTAAAACTGAGATATATTATGAGTTAATTACTCTTTTCTGTGTTCTAAAGTTTGCATGCTTAGATAACTCAATAGCCGAAGTCCACCATCTTTGCACAAGCTCAGCCACTTAAAGAACTGAAAATGTCCATTTGAAATAGAAAATGAAAAATGCATGATTTTGAGACACACTAGAAGAAATAACAACAGCATAGTATGTGTGTTACACTCACAAAATGCACTTTGGTGATGTGCATGCACAAAAATCAGTTATTTTACCATAATAAACATTTTTATCTGAGTTTATGACACAGGACTCATAAACTGTCTGCCGGATTCCAAATTACAATCATGATTTTCAAGTATCTATCTATCTATCTATCTATCTATCTATCTATCTATCTATCTATCTATCTATCTATCTATCTATCTATCTTTACTGTACTTAGTGGCTGAAATCTTGCCGTGTGGCTTCACATGCACAATGAGAACAATGTCATCATCATCATAAAATCACTGCTGATTAAAGTGTTGGCAGCACTCATTTCAGATTGCCACAACTCATACACAATTAAATGAAGTTGTGTGCACCCCAAATTGCAATTTGCTGTGCTATCTGGACCACATACAGAGCTGTGTGACAGGATTTCAACCACTGTACATTTGATCATAAGCAAATGAGTATGTGAATATCCAACACATTTAATGTGCACTGTCATGTTGGTCTCTGCCCTCTGTGCTGGTCCATCAGAAAATAAGCCACAGCTGGGACCATACATTCGTTAGCATCAACTAAGGTACTAGTGATACATGCAAGCTTTCAAATCCTGAAGAACTATACAGCAGGCTAAATAGTACAAAGGGATGGGAGAAGAAATAGAGATGTCCTAAAATAAGGCTAGGTGTTTAGACCACAACTTCTGACATTACACTCAGTCCCAGGTTGAAGATTACAGACAATTTGGACTATCATTTTTAGGCATGCAAGTATCACTTGACACTTAATAATGCACAGTGGAACAATAATGTCAATTTCTGAAATGTTCTGTAGTGTACTGTGTTAAAAAGAGAAACCAAAGGGTGAAATGTGACAGTGTGTGCCTGGGTTCTTCCTTCTTCAAATTTCATATCTCAAACATCCTTCTAAAAACTTCACTGTTTTCTTCCTCTTTGCAATTTAACTAATTAATTGATTAAACCATTTTCATCCATCCTATATCCATAAATCTCAGGGCAGTATTTAATCAGTAAATAGTATGACATAAAATCCCACAGAAGTTCAGCAAAAAAAATGACAATACAGGATGAGATCAGCAGAGGTCAGCCAGCCCTCAGGAAAGTACGTTCTATAATTGGTTCTACACAACAAAAGAATATTACCCTATAACATACTATTCCCAAGAGTGCAGCACAAAGAATCACCCCCTTTCAAATTATAAAACTCAGCCAGGTATGCAGTGCACACTGCACCAAATACTGAACTCTCAAGCTATTTAAATGTCATTGTTAAAACCTTGAACTCAGAACATAAGTGTATTGGTACCTAACAAAACTAAGTGGTGTTGCATAGTTTCTATGGCTAGTATCCTATTGTTGTCCCCATAGGAACAAATCCTCTAAATTACCATTCAGCCTTGTTGTAAACCACCTTGGCTGCAAGATGGGTAGTAAGTAAGTAAGTAAGTAAGTAAGTAAGTAAGTAAGTAAGTAAGTAAGTAAGTAAGTAAGTAAGTAAACAAACAAACAAACAAACAAACAAACAAACAAACAAATTCAGTGGGCTTACTCTAGCTGGGATTAGCCACAGAAACCGTATAACACCAGTTTTAAAGGATTTTGGGACTAGTAATAGGTGCTGGCCATTAGAACCTTTCTGTCAGCAATACAGCCACAACATCCTAGCTCAAGGCAGAGAGAACCAAGAGGTAAACATGAACTACTGTGGCTACTTATCCAAAACTGAGGGCAGCTGAACCTGGCCAAAAGCTCTCAAGTCATCAAGGCAGCATGAACCTCTAACAACAAAAATGAATCTAGGAGTACTCCTAGATTTCTATTCCTTCAGAGAAACAGGAAATCCATTCAAAGCAGGAGTCAGTTCCTGAACTCTATATACTGTCAAGTCAGGTTTTGCTTGTTGGCCCTCATTCAACCCATTAAAATATCCAAAAATATTTCAAGATCCTCCTTTGCCTAATTTGTCCTTCAGAAAATTAGTTTATTTGAAGAACTACTCCAAAACTCAATTTTAGTAAACGGTGTAATCTAAAGCACAGTTCTACCCTTGTTATTCAGAAGTAAGTTTTTATTACACTCAGTATGACATATCGCTGGTTCAGGGTGTATAAGCCTGCCACTTTAATCAGGTTGATCCATCAGTAATATCTCCAAACATACAAAAACATTTGAGATTAACCACATTTTCAACAGAAAAGCATCTTCTGAAGACAATTATGAAACGCAGCTGTCCAGAACACTACAAAAACACCGTTGATTAAAAGCTTCATTTATTGTGGCCATTTATGACAGATGTACATATATACCTGAGGAACTTTTCAAACTGCACAGAATATTGAAGATGATTTTGAAAGGTTCATAATTTTGGGAAAAGATTTTATAGGCAAAACTCATTGAACAATATTTTCTTCTTTAGTGT